GGGGGGGGGGGGGGGGGGGGGGGGGGGGGTGAGAGTAAAGGTGGTTGGGATTTTCAATGCTAAAGTGGGTAAAAATGTTATGGAGGGAGAATAGTAATTTGGGGTGCCAGGGTAAATGAAAATGGGACCTTAATTGAGCGATGTGTAGAAAGAAATTTGGTAATAAGTAATACATATTTTATGAAAAAGAGGATAAATAAATATAACAAGGTATGAATGTAGCACTTAATGAAAAGTAGTTTGTTAGATTATGTATTGTGATAAAAGGTTGATGGGTTAGGCTCCAGGATGTTTCATGTTTATACAAGGGGCAACTGATAATATCATTATCATTATTTAGTTTTGTAGCTACAGTTAGAATACAGAGGTAATGGAAAAGAAGAAGGTGGCAACAACAAGTAAGAGGGAGGAGAAAGTGTATAAACTAAACTAAGGGAGGAGGAAGTTCGGGCGAGATATAAGCGACTATTGGCAGAAAGAAGGAGGGCTAGTGCAAAGATGAGTAGTGGGGGGGTTATTTTGAAGAGGGTTGGAATAGTTTGTAAAAATGCAGTATTAGAATGTGGGGCAGAAGTTTGTGGTTATCAGGAGGGTGGGGGGCAGTAGGAAAAGGAGTGATTGGTGGAATGAATGAAGTAAAGGGGTGAGATAAAAGAGAAAAAGTAGCTTACGAGAGGTTTTTTACAAAGCAGAAGTGGTTATAAGAAGAGCAGAGTATATGGAGAGTAAAAGAAAGGTGAAGAGAGTGGGTGAGAGAGTGCAAAAGGAGAGCGAGATGAAAGAGTGGGAGAGGCTCTGGTCGAAGAAATTTTTAATGAAAATAAGAAAAAATTTTGAAGTGATTAAACAAGTCAAGAAAGCCTAGGGGAAAGTATGGGATTTGTCCGTTAAAGAAACAGAGTAGAGGAGTTAGTAGATGGGGTAGAGGGAGGTATAGGTAGATGGCGAAATTATATTTGAGGAACTTTTTTAAATGTTGAGGAAGAATGGGAAGGCGGTAATTTTCATGCACTGGCCAGGAGGTATACATCTTTTAGAGTGAAGAAGACAGAAATGTAAGTGTGGTGGAAGTACGTGGCCAATTACTTAGATATGAAAGGGGGTAAAAGCAGTCTGGAACTGATGGGATCAAGACAGAAAGTTAAAAGCAGGGGGGGATATAGTGTTGGAGTTGGTTGTACTTTGTTTAATAATGTATGAAAGAGGGGAAAGGTACCTAGGGATTGGCGGAAAGCATGTATATCCCTTTATATAAAAGGGAAAGGGACAAAAAGAGATTGTAAAAATTATAGAGGAATAAGTTTACGTGAGTAACCAGGAAAAGTATACGTAGATTATAATTAAAGAAATTAGAGGGTAAGAACAAATTAGAATTGCGGATGAGCAAGGAGGCTTCAGAGTGGGTAGGGGAATGTGTAGATCAAGTGTTTATACATTGAAGCATATATGTGAAACAGTATTTAGATAAAGGTAGGGAAGTTTTTATTTCATTTAAAAATGGATTTAGAAAAGGCATTGATAGAGTGGATAGAGAGCAAATGTGAGGGCAGATGTTTGCAAGTTTATGGAATAGGTGTAAGTTACTAATGCTGGTAAAGAGCTTTATGAGATAGTGAGCTCAGGTTAGGGTGTATTAGAAGAGAGGGAGAATACTTCCCGGTAAAAGTAGGACTTAGACAGGGATGTGTAATGTCACAATGGTTGTTTAATAATATATTTTATAGATGGGTTGTAAAAGAAGTAAAATGCTAGGGTGTTCGGGAGAGGGGTGGGATTAAATTATGGAATCAAAATTCAAAAATGGGAATAGACACAGTTACTTTTTTGCTGATGTATACTTGCTTATGGGAGATTCTAAAGAAAAATTGCAAAGGTTAGTGGATGATTTTGAGATGTGTGTAAAGGTAGAAAGTTGAAAGGTTGACATAGAAAAGAGTAAGGTGATGAGGGGTATCAAATATTTGATAAAGAAAAATTGGATATCAAATTGGGGAGGAGGAGTATGGAACAAGTGAATGTTTTCAGATACTTGTGAGTTTGACGTGTCGGCGTATGGATTTATTGAAGGATGAGGTTAATTCATAGTAATGATGAGGGAAAAAAGGTGAGTGGGTGCGTTAGGTATATGTGGAGTCAAAAAACGTTATCTATGGGAGCAAAGAGGGATTATGAAGTAAGTCGTACCATCACCTTATATGTATGTGAAGCTTGGTTGGTACAAATGCAGCAGAGCGAGGAGACGGTTGGAGGCATGGAGATGTCCTGTCTAAGGGAATGTTGGTGAAATATTATGCAGAAAATTCGAGTGTGGAAATTAGAGAAGGTGTGGAGTTAATAAAAGCATTAGTCAGAGGGCAGAAGAGGTTGTTGAGGTGGTTTGGTCATTTCAGAGAGAATGGATCAAAGTAGAATGACATGGAAAGCATATAAATCTATAGGGAAGGAAGGAGGGGTAGGTCCGTCCTTCGAAGGGTTGGAAAGAGGGGTAAAGGAGGTTTTGTGGGCGAGGGCTTGGACTTCCAGCAAGCGTGCATGAGCGTGTTAGATAGGATTGAATGGTAGACGAATGATACTTGGTGACCCAGACGATCTGTTGGAGTGTGAGGGGGATATTTAGTGAAGGGATTCAGGGAACCGGTTATTTTTTCTTATAGTCGGATTGAGTCCTGAAAATGGGAAGTACAATGCCTGCACATTAAAGGAGGTGTTTGGGATATTGGCATTTTGGAGGGATATGTTTGTGTATCTTTGATATGTGTATTCTTCTAAACTGTGTATTCTTGAGCACCTCTGCAAAAAACAGTGATAATAGTGCGAGTGTGGTGAAGTGTGAATGATATGGAAAGTATTTTCTTTTTGGGGATTTTCTTTCTGTTTTTGGGTCACCCTGCCTCGGTGGGAGACCGCCGACTTACATACAATAGGTGAAAGTGTTGATTGATGAATGAAATTATTTTCTTTGGGGATTTTCTTTGTTTTTTGGGTCACCCTGCCTCGGTGGGAGACGGCCGACTTTGTGAAAAAAAAAATAATATATATATATATATAATATATATATTGGCAGTTTGGAGGGATATGTTGTGTATCATATACATCTATGCCTTCTAAAACTGTTGTATTCCGAGCACTCTGCAAAAGCAGTGATAATGTGTGAGTGTGGTGAAAGTTTGAATGATGATTGAAAGTATTTTTCTTTTTGGGGATTTTCTTTCTTTTTCTGGACACCCTGCCTCGGTGGGAGACGGCCGACTATTTGAAAAAAAAAAAAAAAATATATACATGTATAAACAGCTATTGGAATAGATGGTCTAATGAGAACATAGGCAAGGGGTCCGAAGACAGAGGAGAGTCTCAGTTATGGGTAGTTTAAAAATGTAGTGTTAGAGAGTCAGCAGAAGTTTGTGGTTACAGGAAAGTGGGTGCGGAGGGAAGAGGAGCGATTGGTGGAATGATGTAAACAGAGTAGTTAAGGGAAAAAGTTAGCATATGAGAAGTGATTACCAAAGGTAGAAAGTGAATGCAAGGAGGGGAAGAGTATATGGAGAAAAAGATAGGGTTATTAGTAGTGGTGAAGCAATGTAAAAAAGAGAGCAAATGATAGAGTGGGTGAGATGTTTATCAACACAAATTTTGTTGAAAATAAGAAAAAGTTTGGAGTGAGATTAACAATTAAGAAAGCCAAGAGAACACATGGATTTGCCATTAAAATAGGAAGTAGTGTTTATAAATTGAGATTTAGAGGTATTGGGAAGATGGAGGAATATTTTTGAGGAATTGTTAAATGTTGATGAAGATAGGGAAGCTGTGATTTCGTGTATAGGACAAGGAGGATAACATCTGTAGGAGGAGGAAGAGCCAGTTGTGAGTGTGGGGGAAGTTCGTGAGGCAGTAAGTAAAATGAAAGGGGGTAAGGCAGCCAAAAATAGCTTTTTTGTTTCAGTTTTATGGTGCATTACGAGTATATATTACAGTTAGCCCTGTGCTATACTCCATTTTCTCTAATATAAGCCTCCAAGAGAGGGATAGAATAGTATTTGTATCCCATATCCTCTTCAGTCAGAATTTGTCTGTTTAAGGCACCTTTATCAGTCTCTAGTTTTTCTGTGATAAAAAAAATGGGCTACAAAATGAAAGGATAATGAAGAATAGGCCAGTGGAATACATTAAATAATGCAGGATTTCTCATACTTCACCTGCAAGAAGTCACTTCTTACTTGATAAGCAGCCTATAGTAGACCTAGTATGAAAGACTGCCACTGCCACACTGGTTACTGCACAAGCAGGAGTCATGAACCAGGGTGACAGGCAGGGAACCTGCATTATATAAGGAATATCTTAAAGACAAACAATAAAAGGTCAGATTATAACTAGCAGGGACCCAAGATTCAGTTCTGTACTAGGTCCAGTACCACTTACAGTTGGTTTTAATGAACTGTCAATACTATATAATAAATTTTGTTTCAGAAATAGCCTCATTTTGTGTTGTAAAGGTCATATCTCTTTAAACACTGAACAAAATCCTATGGTTAGTCTTCAGTTTAGGGATTGTGCATCAAGCCAAAACAAAATAGGCTAAGAAAAAAAATTGAAGTTATCTGCAAGAGTCCTTCAGTAAAAATGTTGGGTAATAGAAATATGCAAATTTGGAAGGCCACAAATTTGGGGGTTTAACTGTATTGAAAAATGGGTAGAAATAAATTTAATGGGTAAGATAATCAGATTATAAATGTATTGTGAAGGATGGGTTTTTTTGCCTATAATTTATTTAGTTTAAGAAATGTTATAATAGCCCTCTGCATTCATTAATAGAGTCTTATTTTGACTTGCTTGTTACTGTATATCATATGATTTAATTTAGCAAGTGATATAGAAATTTAATTAATGTCAAATGTAGCAAAGTATAGTACCCCTTAGGTAAACTGTCTTTAGAGCTCCAGCTCAAGCTAAAAGGAATTAATGGGTTAATAAAATTTGTGTCTCAAAATTCACATTTATTGCAGAAACAACACCGAAAAGCCCGGCCGAGATCCAAGAATGCAATCTCCTCCTCAAGGAAAAGGTCCCAGAGAGATGTCTAGAGAGACATCTCGAGACATGTTGCGGGACCCAAGAGATCATGGAGACATAGCAGTGGATCAGCGGGATCTATCAGAAGATATACATAGAAATCCTCGAGACATGTTCCGAGATCCTCGGGACATGATAGAGAGCCCTAGATCAAGTGGAGAGTATAACCCTAATTCTTGGGCAAGGGATCAGTTACCTGTGTCGAATATGCGAGATTCCTGGGAGCATCAGAGTGAAATGGATTCATCTAAGGATTCTAAAGATACACGAAATAGTTTCTTAGGTTCAAGAGAGGGCTTAGATGTGGATCGTGATCAGCGACACAGAACCGGGGATGTAGATTTGCGAGTATTACCAGGGGTTGAAAACAGTCCAACTGAAGGGTCAAATGTTAAAGGTTTGCGGTATGACACAGACATGAGGATCTCAAGTGAGCCTTCAATATATGATGTAGATTTAAGGCAACTGAATTTAGCAAATAATTATCAGAGCAATGAAGAGGAAACAAATTCATTGCCATTTAAAGTACCAGTGCATACTCCAGCCAAAGAGATTGTAGCTTCAATATCATCGCATTCACCCATGTATTATCAACTCCTAAAAGTCACTATTCCCAAACCAAATTTTTGCCACCTCAAAATTAATAAGGATGACCCAAGGATTATGGATGACCCTAGACTTAGAAAAATGCTCAGAAGAAATTCAACAGAGGAAGTCGCTAATCGCAGTCCACGAGCACCTTCTAGATATGACATAGATAGTCCCATGAGTCCTCCAGGATTTTCAGTTTCCAAGGGAGACTCAAGAATTTCTGACTCTGAGTCTAGAGACTCCAGAGACCCAAGAATGTCATCTTCAAGGGACCCTAGAAGTGAAATTCGGACAGATCCTCGGGCTGAAAATCGTGTTGAACCTAGAGGAGATCCTAGGATGAATACCAGAGTTGATCCTCGCGTTGGAAACAGAGGTGATCCAAGAACTGAATCGCGTGATCCACGAACAGAACCTTTAAGTGATATAAGAAATCAGGACCCAAGAATGAGTGGAGCATTTGGAACTGGAAATAGTGGAGGTATGATGGAAGGAGGAATGCAGTTTATGAACATGGGACCTGGACCTGGACCCGGACCCGGACCCGGACCTGGACCTGGACCTGGACCTGGACCTGGACCTATGGGTCCTGTGATTCCTCGTGTGGACCCCAGGGGTAGACCAGGGTTGCTTGGACCTGCACCAATGCCATTTAACTCGGGAGGTCCACGTCCTATGGGGCCAAGGATGTCTCCCTTTATGATGGGTCAGATGGGTCCAAATGGTGGATTTTTTCCTGAAGACAATGGGGAAATGATGGGTGGTAATGGCAGTTTTCCCCAGGGAGGTCCAGGATGGCGAGGGCGTATGCCATCAAACGACCCTAGACTGCAGAGAGACATGGGGGATGCAAACAGATCATACACTCCGCCTCCAGTGTCCTAGTGACTCCTAGGCACTTTTTAATACAGTTACCTCGATAACTGTGAGTTTGGCCAATATGGGGTATTATCAAGTCAAGCTGTATGATGCCACTGTATGTGAAATACTTTGAATTTGCCTAATAATTAGGCTTTATTATAACTATACTGTACATACAAACATGTTGTATTTACAATACATACATACTGTATATACAATACATACATACTGTATATATAATACATTATATACACTTCATACATACTATACATAAATACATCTTTTGTCCTGTTGTTGAATGTAAATATTGTTGTAATGAATACTGTACTGTATTGCATATGTATTCAGTTACATACGTAACCCTTCTCAACCTGTATTTCTGATATTATATGAGATCAAAATAATTTAAGTCATGTTGCTTTTTATTAATACTGTACATAATTTGTCAAACTTTGATGTAGCATGTACACAATTATTTAGAATTTTCTTGTGTGAAGTTATTGAGGTTTTGCATGTGACGTCACAGGTTACTTACTGGCTTAGCTTAATCTTGTTGGCCATATTGGACATGAAACTGCACACACACATACAGGTGGGGCCAGGAGCTGTGAACCGACCCTTGCAACCAAATATAGGCAAGCACACCTAGCACACACACGTGAGGCTTCTCTCATCTTTCTAAGCCACCAGGGATTGTGAAATATGGAAATGAAGGGTTTATGCCTCGAGGTGGAGAGACTCAGAGTCGTCAAAATTGATTTTTCATGGAAGTACCCTGATGCTGACAAAAGGCTCTTGATCCAAGGATTTGGAGGTACCCTTCCTTTCCTTAAGTCAACCCTAATTACCTCCCATTTCCTAGCCACTGTATGACACCCCCTACAGGTTTAGTGCTTCCCCATTAATGATAATAAAAATGCAGCTGTTTGCATAGCAAATATTTAATATTTATTTTCATTTGTTTCATTTCATTTGTATTCAGAGCATCAAGTGTTCATTAATAGTGTACCTTAAGGTGGGCAGTATATGGGGAGTTAAACCTCATGGGATGACAGATTGTTATTTATACATGTATAGAAAAGAGGTATAAATAACAATCTGTCATGGTGGGATACCAGCCATATCCCACCAAGGCAGAGTGGCCCAAAAAGAAAAACAAAAGTTTCTTTTTAATTTAGTAATTTATACAGGAGAAGGGGTTACTAGGCCCTTGCTCCCGGCATTGTCACCTCTTACAACACGCATGGCTTATGGAGGAAGAATTCTGTTCCACTTCCCCATGGAGGTAAAGATTTTTTTTTTTTTTTTCAACAAGTCGGCCGTCTCCCACCGAGGCAGGGTGACCCAAAAAAGAAAGAAAATCCCCAAAAAGAAAATACTTTCATCATCATTCAACACGTTCACCACACTCACACATTATCACTGCTTTTGCAGAGGTGCTCAGAATACAACAGCTTAGAAGCATATACGTATAAAGATACACAACATATCCCTCCAAACTGCCACTATCCCAAACCCCTCCTTTAAAGTGCAGGCATTGTACTTCCCATTTCCAGGACTCAAGTCCGACTATATGAACATAACCGGTTTCCCTGAATCCCTTCACTAAATATTACCCTGCTCACACTCCAACAGATCGTCAGGTCCCAAGTATCATTCGCCTCCATTCACTCCTATCTAACACGCTCTTGCACGCTTATATTATATATATATATTCTTCTTTCTTTCAACACACCGGCTGTATCCCACCAAGGTGGGGTGGTCCAAAAGGAAAAACGAAGGTTTTTCCTTTCAAATTTAGTAATATATACAGGAGAAGGGGTTACTAGCCCCTTGCTCCCGGCATTTTAGTCGCCTCTTACAACACGCATGGCTTACGGAGGAAGAATTCTGTTCCACTTCCCCATGGAGATAGGAGGAAATAAACAAGAACAAGAACTAGAAAGAAAATAGAAGAAAATCCAGAGGGGTGTGTATATATATGCTTGTACACGTATGTGTAGTGTGACCTAAGTGTAAGTAGAAGTAACAAGACGTACCTGAAATCTTGCATGTTTATGAGACAGAAAAAAGGACACCAGCAATCCTACCATCATGTAAAACAATTACAGGCTTTCGTTTTACACTCACTTGGCAGGACGGTAGTACCTCCCTGGGCGGTTGCTGTCTACCAACCTACTACCTAGGATGTGTGTGTGTGTATATATATATATATATATATATATATAATATATACATGTATATATATATATTTTCATATAGTCGGACTTGAGTCCTGGAAATGGGAAGTACAATGCCTGCACTTGAAAGGAGGGGTTTGGGATATTGGCAGTTTGGAGGGGTATGTTGTGTATCTTTATATGTGTATGCTTCTAGACTGTTGTATTCTGAGCACCTCTGCAAAAACAGTGATAATGTGCGAGTGTGGTGAAAGTGTTGAATGATGATGAAAGTATTTTCTTTTTGGGGATTTTCTTTCTTTTTTTTGGGTCACCCTGCCTCGGTGGGAGACGGCCGACTTGTTAAAAAAAAAAAAAAAAAAAAAAAAATATACATATATATATATATATATATATATATATATATATATATATATATATATATATATATATATATATATATATATATATATATATATATATAATATATATATATATATATATATATATATATATATATATATATATATATATATATAATATATATATATATATATATATATATATATATATATATATATATATATATATATATATATATTATATATATAATGTAGTAGGTTGGTAGACAGCAACCACCCAGGGAGGTACTACCGTCCTGCCAAGTGAGTGTAAAACGAAAGCCTGTGATTGTTTTACATGATGGTAGGATTGCTGGTGTCTTTTGCCTGTCTCATAAATATGCAAGATTACAGACATGTCTTGCTACTTCTACTTACACTTAGGTCACACTACACATACATGTACACATTTATTTATACACACTCATCTGAGTTTTCTTTGATTTTATCTTAATAGTTCTTGGTCTTATTAATTTTCCTTTTATATCCATGGGGAAGTGGAATAAGAATCTTTCCTCCGTAAGCCATGCGTGTTGTAAAAGTCAACTAAAATGCCGGGGGAACAATGGGCTAGTAACCCCTTTTCCTGTAAAGATTACTAAAAAGAATAAGAAGAAGAAAATTGTCAAAGTGGGAAGTCTGAATGTGCGTGGATGTTGTGCAGATGATAAGAAAGAGATGATTGTGGATGTTATGAATGAGAAGAAGCTGGTGTCTGGCTTTAAGTGAAACAAAGCTGAAGGGGGTGGGGAGAGTTTCAGTGGGAGAGGAATAAATGGGATTAGGTCAGGGTTTTCAAATAGAGTTAGAGCTAAAGAAGGAGTAGCAATAATGTTGAAGGATAAGCTATGGCAGGAAAAGAGGGACTTAAATTTTATTAATTCAAGGATTATGTGGATTTAAAATAAAGATTGGATGTGAAAAAGTGGGTTATAATAAGCGTGTATGCACCTGGAGAAGAGAGAAGGGGTAGAGGAGGAGAGAGATTTTGGGAAATGTTGAGTGAATGCGTGGGGAGTTTTGAATCAAGTGTGAGAGTAATGGTGGTTGGGGATTTCAATGCTAAAGTGGGTAAAAATGTTATGGAGGGAGTAGTAGGTAAATTTGGGGTGCCAGGGGTAAATGTAAATGGGGAGCCTTTAATTGAGCTATGTGTAGAAAGAAATTTGGTAATAAGTAATACATCTTCTTTCTTTCAACACACCGGCCGTATCCCACCGAGGTGGGGTGGCCCAAAAGGAAAAACAAAAGTTTCTCCTTTTAATTTAGTAATATATACAGGAGAAGAGGTTACTAGCCCCTTGCTCCCGGCATTTTAGTCGCCTCTTACAACACGCATGGCTTACGGAGGAAGAATTCTGTTCCACTTCCCCATGGAGATAAGAGGAAATAAACAAGAATAAGAACTAGAAAGAAAATAGAAGAAAACCCAGAGGGGTGCGTATATATGTGCTTGTACATGTATGTGTAGTGTGACAAAAGTGTAAGTAGAAGTAGAAAGACGTACCTGAAATCTTGATGTTCATGAGACAGAAAAAAAAAGGGCACCCGCAATCCCACCATCATGTAAAAAAAATTACAGGCTTTCGTTTTACACTCACTTGGCAGGACGGTAGTACCTCCCTGGGCGGTTGCTGTCTACCAACCTACTACCTATAATAAGTAATACATATTTTATGAAAAAGAGGATAAATAAATATACAAGGTATGATGTAGCACGTAATGAAAGTAGTTTATTAGATTATTATTGGTGGATAAAAAGGTTGATGGGTAGGCTCCAGGATGTACATGTTTATAGAGGGGGCCCAAATGATATATCGGTCATTTATTTAGTTTAGCTACAGTTAGGTAAGAGGTAGATGGGAAAAGAGGAAGGTGGCAACAACAAGTAAGAGGGAGGTGAAAGTGTATAAAACTAAGGGAGGGGGGAAGTTCGGGGTGAGATATAAGCGACTTTTGGCAGAAAGGTGGGCTAGTGCAAAGATGAGTAGTGGGGGGGTTGAAGAGGTTTGGAATAGGGTTTTTAAAAAAGCAGTATTAGAATGTGAGGCAGAAGTTTGTGGTTATAGGAGGGTGGGAGCAGGAGGAAAGAGGAGTGATTGGTGGAATGATGAAGTAAAGGGTGTGATAAAAGAGAAAAAGGTAGTTATGAGAGGTTTTTACAAAGCAGAATGTGTTATAAGAAGAGCAGAGTATATGGAGAGTAAAAAAGGTAAAGAGAGTGGTGAGGGGAGTGCAAAAGGAGAGCAGATGATAGGTGGGAGAGGCACTGTCAAGAAATTTTAATGAAAATAAGAAAAAATTTTGGAGTGAGTTAAACAAGTTAAGAAGCTAGGGAAAATATGGATTTGTCAGTTAAAAACAGAGTAGGGGGTTTGTAGATGGGGGAGTGGAGGTTATTTGGGGAGATGGCGAGAAAAATTTTGAGGGAACTTTTAAAGTTAAGGAAGAAAAAGAGGCAGTAATTTCATGCACTGGTCGGGAGGTTTTCCTCTTTTAGGAGTGAAGAAAAGCAGAATGTAAGTTGGGGGAGGTCGTGGGATTTCGTAAAATGGGGGGGGGGAATGGGGAAGACGAAATGTTAAAAGCAGGGGGGGTTAGTGTTGGAGTGGTTGGGATTTTGTTTAAAAATGTATGAAAGAGGGAAGGTCCCTAGGGATTGGCGGAGAGCATGTATATCCCTTTATAAAAAGGGAAAGGGGACAAAAGAGACTGTAAAAAATTATAGAGGAATAAGTTTACGGTATACCAGAAAAGTGTAGGGTGGGTTATAATTAAAAAAAAAAATTAGAGGTAAGACAAAATGTAGGTTGCGGATGAGCAAGGAGGTTTAGGGGGGTAGGGGATGTGTAG